TAAGCCACAATAGAAATTGATCTGTTGGATCTCTCCTTCCAGAGGCTTGATCCTGCACTCCCTGGGACCCTTGCCACTAGCTCAAACCACAGAGGAATAAGCTGCTTGTGCAAAAGAAAAGTACCAGGAGTGAGAGATGGCTGAGGACTGAGTACCAGCCTAGGGGTGGGCACATTCCCTATCACAGGATGGGAGGCCAGGACCCCACCAGTTGATCTACATTATCAGTCACAGCAGCTCCCTAAGCAGCATGTTTTTCTCCCCTGCTTCTCCTCATTAATAATGACAGAAAAACTTGTTTTTCACAGATAGGTTTTGCCATCATCGCTGTCCCACATGGAGAAAGATCCCAAGAGTAGACTAAAAAAAAGGTAAAAATGGATGGTGGACCTGCCAGTGCAGACTGACCACTGGGAAGAGGAGGTGCTCAGCATGTCCTGCTCCACAGTTACCCCACAGCTTTCCGTTTTCCAGACTTACCCAAGGATGATGCTATGATCCCTTCTATGTAAGCAAGTCACTTCCCACAACTGATTGGGACTGAGTGTGAGCACCAGCTGGCAAAGTGCAAACAGCTCTGAATTAAGCTGCCATAATTGTGAATGGCTTTCAGAGCTCAAAACCGGCGAAAGTCCTCAGGTTCACCAGAACATGTGCAACCTTCAAGAGCAAGGGCCAATACACAGAGCAATGCTTTCTGCTGTGGACATTGCTTCTGCATCAGGACACTTGCTAATATGGCACGCCATCTGGAGAGTCTTAAAAATGAAAAAGAAGGGGGATCCTGAATGGACCTTGGTACAACCTTCACTTTTAGGAGACGTGAATGCAGAATTCAAATTAAAATAAAGCTTTTCTAAAACCTATGTGACACACAAATGATGAGTAATTCAGTCAAGAAACAACATGCGATTCATTCAAAAAAAGAAAGACAATTAAAAAATAAATTATTCTAATCGGAAATAGAAAGAAAAACAGGATATGTATGCTAAAACAGTCTGACAGCCTCACCTGCTAAAAAGCCTCAGAGATTCACACTGTGCTGGAGGACTTAGATAACATCAGTCACTCACAGTGTTGTCCCTGGCTTTAAGAGTGTCACAGGGAAAAGAAACGAGCCTCTCCAGATGGTATTTCACTGCCTTAAAGGCACTCATTTCTCCTTGCATCTCCTTGGCTCACTCTCTAGCACACCTTCCAGAATCAAATGCACCACAGGTCCTATACAGACAATTGTCCTCTTCCATCGCTGCTCCTGACTCAGTTCTTTTGCTCATGGTAGAAAACAGTAGCACAGCCCATGTAACTTCAAAGCTGTGGGGAAAACCTTTGCTTTTTTCAGCTGAACGCTTATTTCCTGTGGGAACACATCTGGTAGCTTGATGTAGGCCTTCCTTCTTGAATTTTGACCATCAATAAAATGTACATATATTTATACGGGTTTGAGCCTCCTAAAGATCTGTCTCGGCTCCCCTCCTCAGGCCAAGCTCCATGGCTCAAGCTTGCAGAGAGGCCCTCCTCCAGCTGTGCAAAATCTTTAAAGCACTTTATGAATTAGACATTATTAATATTCTCTTGCAACATCAAAAGGCAGTAATTAACTCTTTGAAGACTCATCCTAAACACTGCTTTATAACTTTCAGTCCTCAGAGGCAGCTATATAATCTCTTTGTGATTTTGAAGAATATCTTTCCAGATCAATTATTTTTCCCTGTTTGGAAAAAAAGTTCAAAGCCCTGGTTCTGCCTTGGAGTGTGCGTAAGTGACATTAGATGTGCCACAAAGACTTCAGAGCACGAAACATGATATGCTGCAATACTTTGCAATTACCAATTAAAAGTCACCTCACCACCCCGGGCAGGAGAGATGACTGCAGGTTGAAAAGTTAGCAGGCATGCTCACTTTCTGGGCTCATAAATGCAGCGTGATGGCTGAGCTACCTAATACACAAAAAGAAAACAAAAATCCAGAGTTGATAATAGCATGCTGAGCAGATGCCTTAAGTAGGTCATTCAACATGCCAGGCCTCTAAATGTTATTTCGGAGTGAGAAAACATTATTTTCCCATTTCAGCATGACTTTGTCTTCCCTGTCATGTGGAACTAACCTTTTGTGCTCAGTACTATTATTAATTTATTAGCCTTTTGAACGTCTAAGTTGTTTTGCAGTCTACGGACTACATCTGAGTGCTTGCTGAGGGGCAATGCCGCACAAACAAGTGTGAGTGTGTGCATCCACACACATGTATGGATATTTTGAAGCGCAGAGTTGATGAAAGAATAATTCTATCGATGTATTTTTGACAGTGAGAACAGCCATTTCCTTGAGCACAGAACCACAAGGAGTGTATCTTTGTTATAATTAAATGTCAAACCTTATGAGTGATGACTATGTAGAAAAAGTGCTAAGTATATTTCTATTGAAATCAATTAAAGGAGACAATGATTTTCTTTCCGTTTAGATTACATGACTCCAGCACAAATTACTGCAGTACAGTGCAGCTCTGTCAGCCTGGCCTCATTGTCTGAACAACTGTTTTCTGTTCGCCTAATGAAACTGTCCTGGACGGCCCTGCTTCTCCTAAGAGATGAACTCACCGTCAAACACTTCTGTGCCCAACAGGGAATCACATGTGCTTCTAGCAGATATGACATTTGAAACAATCCCCTGAATAACTTTATGTAACAGGACTTAGATTGTGTCCCTGGTGTTGAAAGTAGCATGATCTATTTTGTGCCTAGGAACAATACACAGAATTTCTGCAAAGCAGGCTCCAGCTCAGCACATCTGCCTGCAATACTAGAAGTAAGACTTTCCAGAAAACAGTTCTTGAGTAAAACTCTAGGAGACATCATAGGTGGAGTTCATCTGATGTACCCTAGGTATTTAAAAGTTAGTCATCAAAGACTTTTTGTCAAAAGTCAACAGAAAAGGGACGATTTTCCCATCCCAGACTGGGCACTGAAGAGGGGCCACATGATTGCCTTCTGGAGCTATAAAGGTGACTGCCAACTAGCTTAGACATCATCACCCAGCTTTTAGTGAAATGAACTCCACACCCTGCATGTACCACATTGATACGACCTTTCTGTGACTCTCCATCCACTCTCATGTAATGCCCACCCATGCACCCAGCAAAGATCTCCTTTCCTTCTGCAAAATCCAATGTTTCTTTAAAAGTGCTGTTCCTTCTTGCTTTGAGTCACTGCCCCCACAGCAAAGTCCATGGGCTACTGAGCTATCCAGCAGGTATCTGTACTGGGGATTTGCACTTGACGACTGTTTCCACCTGGGTGACTACCTATAGCAGGGCCCTGCAGGGGAAACAATTTTCCTCAAAACAGTGCATGGGAGAGAAGAAAATCCATGAAAACCCTGTCAGGAGGCCATTCCCCATATGCATCTCTGGACTACGGAGTTGAACTCCAGCACATTTCCCTGTCAGGAAAAGATCTGTACGTGATTTTGCTGTACACAACCTTGTCACAGCTAATGGGGGATGGGGAACCCCTGGAAGCTAGCTGAAGTGACAGGTTCACAGTTTTAAGAAGGAAAGAATACATTCTGGCACAATGTATGTGACATTACCTTGTCCCATGAAATCACTGTCAGTAATGTCTGAGCAGAATTGTGATTGCGGGACTGTAGCTGGTGACACGTCACAGGTAGACAAGGTGGCAATGGGGGATGCTGCAGTCAAGGCTTGGAGGACATCTTATTAAGAAAGAAGCGATAAGCTAGAAACCCCAAACCAGCTTTCAAGCCCCAAAGCCCTTCTTCAGGTCTGAAGCAGAGTTAACAAGGTTCAAGTCAGAGGTAAGCTGACAAGCTGGAACCAAATCCGATTATAATTCAGCTCTTCCAGGCTCCAGCACAGACAGAGGGGACTGCAATCCCATTGCATCTGCTTTTTGCCATGGGTATTTTGTGCCATACTTGGCATATTAATGAGCACGAGGAATGCACAAAAAAATAAAACTTCTTTGAAAGAAGCATTTGTAAGATGCTCTAGAGGCTAGAGAGAAACTAGACTCAGAAAAGTAAAATTTGAGTTGTGTTGAGCTCCTGTTACTGTAGAGGCTCAAACCGCCTTGTAAATTAATAAGGCAGCCTTGGTACATTATCAGGTGAGATGCCCTAGGTATAGCTGCAGAAAAATGTGTTTCAGCAGCTAGAGGATCACTGTTAATGCTCAATAATCTATAAATCATTGTTATGAGATTTCTCTATGCAAATGAAATTTATATAACCCTCATAAATCTTAAAAAAAAAATCATAAAGATTAAATTTTGCAGCCGCAATGCAAATTAAAGAATCCCTTAACCTGTTTTCAAGATACGTCCTTATAGCTAATTAATTTTTAGATGGAGTGTTCTTTGAAAGGACTAATGGATAGTGAGAATTTCTGATTGATTATAAAATGAGCAGGAGGGTTTAAGAAGTGAGCTGTGAATGTAAAATCACTACCAAGCTTTATTAACCTTGCCACATTAAAATTCTAAACTATGCAAGTGAGAGAAGCAGGTATTAATACAATACTTTTGCTGAGTACATTTTATTTATTTAACATCAATAAATTTCTCTTAGTTGGTCTATACCATGCAGATCCATCAGACAGTCCTCTGACCTATATCTTAGCAGGTGAGAGACTAAACCTCACCTCTGAGGAATGCACAATCTGGATTCTATCAGACTATAAAACATAATTTTGTACATTATGCAACAGAGAATAAAAGCCAAAAACCAGCAACTGCGAAGAAAAGGAAAGGAACTGTAATCCATATGTCACCCTGCTAGGACTGCTTCTCAGGGCTGCAAATCTACAGGAAACTTTTATTGAGCCATCATTAACGAACAGAGACAACATTTATTGAAAGGCCAGTTAATCTGCAATGACCTGAAAACATCAAGAGTAAACAGGGGGAAGCTACACACTGCAGCCTGCAAGAGCGTGCAATCTCTTGGTGAGAGAAAGCAGAAAACAAGAGCTGCCGCCTTACCCGTTTCCTTAAATTGCAGGTGAGCGTCAGATTCCTTGAGAAGGAGTTTGCAAAAGCAGTATAAAAGTCCAACACTTTAAGCAAGGCTTCTCGTTTAATAATATGTAAATCGCAGTATGTCAGAGCCCGTACATTGGCACATGCGTGGGCCAGACTGGTTTCCTTCCAGAAGATATCACCAAACACATCACCTTTACCTGAAAAACATCAGGACAAATTTGTTAAAAGGTAGAACTTCCACAGTGTTCAGCACGCATATGATTTATTCCCAAACTGTCTTATGCTCCCAATTATTCTAACAAAAGCTCCCATCCATGAAAACTAATAAGGGTAAAAGTTTTAAAAGTATCATTATCCTTAGCAGTAGCCCCAGGTTTTTATGGTATTTCTAGATTGCTCTGTGAAGTGTCAAGAAGAATAAAATAAAGATTGTAAAGGTCTCCTTGTAGCTGAAGATGCAGGTAGCAGATTTTTTTGAAAGACTCCTGAATATAATAAGCGCTTAACTAATGTTCAGGTGATTGAGTATTTCTGAGAGTCTGTTCCTAAACGACTAAGGAGCCCCACTCCCATCAAAAGCCCGTGACATCACAGAATCACAGGTTCCTACATCACCAAGGCTTTGCAGCGCAGTGCAAGAGCCAGCTTCCAGGGCCCAAAGACCACATTTTAAAGGATGTTTAAACATTTTTACTTCAGTGTGAGCAGCAACAATCCGTTTGAAAACCCACCAAAAACCTCCCTGAGACTCCCAATCTTTAAATAACCAGCTCTAAATCTTAAACACATCCAGAAGTCTAGAACTAGACTCAAACACATCCACTTAAATAGAGGCTTACACTTAAGTCTGACTTAAATGTTTGCTGGGTAGGAAAGGGCTTAACATCTTACACACCTGCATGTGTAAATAACTTCAACAAAATGTGAAAATTACACCTGGAGGTTATTTCTGCAGTGGTAGGTAGTGTAGCAGAACAGCTGATGCTGAGGACCTGCACATTTTGAGGACTTAGGACTAGCTGTAGTCCAGTGCCAGGGACAGAAGAGCTCCAAGGGGTGGAAGTGAACAAGATGTGCTCTGACATATCCCAGTTTCCTTTCCTCTGCAAGGAATCCACACCCCCAGACAGCCATGCTAGACACCAAAGCAGGACAAGTTAGGAGAATCCAGACATCAGATTCAAAATCACACTCCTGACCCAACAAAAACACTAGCATGGATGCAGACTGGAGATGCGCTTTCATGTTTGGACCCTATGGCTGCTTTGAAAAGAGGTAGCGGCAGCAGCAGAAAGCACGTTGAAGCATCCAAAAGCTGCCTCTTGCTGCCTGGCTGCTCACCAGCCATGGGCTGGGGGAGGGCCATGGTGTCTAGTTTGTCACTGACACCTCAAATCCTGAAGCAGAAACCATGGTACAGAGGGAAGTTTTTGTTTTAGACCCCAATGATATTGAAGATCTTTATTTTAGCAGTTATTAAAATGAAACTAAAATCAGTGAGTCAGTGGTGGTATCGCTACTGATTTCAGGTACCTCAAGCAGCCCTTCGGTGAAGGTTAGCGATGCTATAGTTTTGGGATAAAAAAGGTAGTACATTTTAATACTTCCTCTTCTAAGAACTGGTAACACTTCACTCAACTCTACTTTGGGAACACAGACCAGAGTAATAATTTATCCAACCTTATTACTTTTGGGGGTCGGAGGCTCTATTTCTCTATTTCCATTTCTGCTTTAGGTATTGTATCCACTAAAATATACATAGCATTTCTCATGCAGAGTAAAATAAAATGTGAAAGCCCTTATCTTGATTCCCTTGTTTTTATTTTCTAACAAAAGTCTATCTCACAGAATCATCCCTTAGAAAGGTTATAACTGAATTCTCATTGAACTGCTTTTAACTCTACATATTTTGATGTAATTAACTACAATACATAATACAGCTGGCATAATTTATAAAACAGGTTGCTTTAAAATACTCTCCTTATCATAGAGCATTTCCTAGTAACTTATTATTTATCCAAGGTACTGTTTTGAAATTACCCTTTGCAGTTAATTGCCCTTGTCTATTTCCACAGTTCAAAACCTGGTTTTCAGACATACTCAGCACAGTTACATAATTTATAGGAAATAGACCATTTCTGAAATGCACAAAATTGCTTAATGGATTTGCTCTCTGAGGTGGACACAGGACAGAATTCAGTCCTGCTTTCAGCAGCTGCAGAGTGCACTTAAAAAGACAGAATTCCATAATAGGGACTATTATGATTTTCCCACTGAAATGTGAGCAAAATACTTTTCTTTCCAAATTTCAGGTAATACATCGTTTATTTAAGCCAAGAGGTTGAAAGCAGCAGATGTTTACTCTGAAACTCAGCATGATGGTGTGTTACAGAATGTGTACCCAAACCATGGATAAATGAAATCACCATTCACAAACTTGAGATCTTCTCATTTTCTTCAGTTCAGTGAGGCAAGGAACTGCACCGGGTCCCTCAGAAAGGCTGGATTTGAAGGGTGAAGCTATAAGCTCCTCTTACTTTGTGCTTTATTCTCTTCAGAAATTATAAAATCTCGGAAGCGTTTAAGGGTTCTTGAATTTGACGTTTCCCACACACACGTCCAAGTCTCGTTCACCTGTTATAAATGTGCTAAGGAACGTGCTAAATGAAAACAAAACCAACCAGATTCTCCAAAACAATCTGTCTTTTCTCATAAATATAGAGATTAATGTACTATACTTCATCCCTATTAACTGTAGTTCACTAAGTAGAGAGCAGTAATTATTCATTCAAGTTTAATTTTACACAGTGTAACTAAATAAAAAAAAAAAAACCCATTTCAGAGCTGCAAAATAAAATTTAACTATAGGTCTGAAACACCGGCTACTCAGGGGCACGTATACGCTGTACATTTGCATGACGTGCACACCTCCAGGAAAAGTCCGGGGCTGGGCTGGGAACACAGAGGCTCTTGGGGCTGATGCAGCCTGCAGAAATTCCAAAGCCTCTCTCCACAGATTTCTTGAGGCCACAGCATGTTACCTCCCAAATCTGCACTGTCCTGAGTCCTGAGCAGTCTTAATACCCCTCCTGAATAGAGGGGAAGCTCTGGGAAATCCTCCTGCCCCTGCTCTCACAGTGCTTGAAGCATCGCTGAAAAAAGCACCACTGTAAAATCAGTGTGGGAACCGCCTGCATAGATTTTGCACTTGGTACGAGGAAAGAGAACAGTACAGTCAGGATCTGGATACTGCTGGATTAAAGCTGGCAGGAACATAAGTGTAGGGATCTGTGGACTGAAAGAACCACGGAAACCAGGAGGACATGTGCAAGGTGTTGGTGATAGGCATCATTTTTGCCGAAATAGCTACCCTGGTATCATCCTAAATATGGACAAAAATTTGCTGATGTATTATGTATGTATGCCTGTACATAAAATATATAGTCATGCATGTTTGTATATATATTTAGAGACAATCACATGGTACGTTACTATAGAATAGATAATTGTACTTCTACACACTATTCTATCTTTTATATTATGATAACTCTCTCATACACAAGTGGAGGGACAGACGTGCAGCCTGCTCTAGGTGACCCTGCTTTGGCAGGGGGGTTGGACTAGATGATCCACAGAGGTCCGGTCCAACCCCGAACATTCTGTGATTCTGTGATTCTGTATGTTCTCCACAGCCTTGCACCATGGACTGACTTGCCAATTTGTGAGACAGCAGCTCACGCCTGGACCTTTCAGGCAGAAAAAATCTTAAGGGCCTTATGAAACTCCCCAGGAGCTTGCAAAGGGAATGAAAATGTCCTTGGACTCAGCGAGGAAAGACTCTTGTTAAACAGCGTCTCAAAACCCATATATATCTATGTAAAGGCAAAATTTATCCTTCTCCAGATGGGGACAGAAACTGACGTAAGAAATGTCCTAGAAGACATCAGAACTTGATGGGGCCTTTGGGAGAAAGTTTGGGCAGGCAGTGAAAGAATAAATTCTTAGTGGAAAACAGCACTGAGGAAAGTCACATAACAGGGATCAAGACTTCTTAAGGAAGGGACCAAGACTTCTTAAAGTGATGTTTTTCTATGCTGTGGAGTCTTAGCTAACAGGTCAGCTACCCTTTCCCCCATTTAAACACATTTCCAAAGTCCCATCAGTCACACCAGCAAAAGCCAGATGTGAATAATCATGTAGGCTTTCCATCACGATATGCTCAAATCTTCTATTGCTTATGAAAAGCTGATTTTGTTGCAGAATCAGTAAAACAGTGTAATGTAGAGAAAACATTCATCTAATCAGCTCAGGTACCAGCAGCCATGAAGCGACAGCAGCATGCACAGAGGTGGAGGTCAGCGACCAAAGATCAAGTCCTTGAAGCCGTAATTACATACACTGGTACGTATATTCACACAAATACATCCGTTTGTTTCCATGCATCCTGGCTGCAGGACAGACGTATCTCAAACTGATGTAGAAATCCAGCGAGTAGTGTAGAAATTCCAGGAGGGAATCAGTTCCTGCTACCCAGAGCAGCACAGAGCTCCATGATGGTCCAGAGAGTACGTAAGCTCCTCAGCTCCCTGCCAAGGGACTTGGGGCTGGTTGCAATGGTTTACAAAAATTATGGGATGGATTCATGCAGTGAAATCCTTCTGTGGCTACAAAACACAAAAGATTTCCCTCTGAGTGAGGAAGACCTTAAAACACAATTTAATGGAGAGTCGGAGAATGTTCTAGGGAGGTATCACTGTCTGCTTACCTAATATTCCTACTTTCTCCCATACCTCCACTATTGGCCATTTTTGGAGACAAGGTACTGGGCTGGCTGGACTTCTGGACTTAGACAACACAGCTGTTTATGTCTGAAGAGGGAATCCAGAGAAAATAGGGGTGATGCAGTGGTGCAAACTCATCAGCTGTCTCTCCTGCCAGCTGGGACATTATCACTTCATGTAAGCACAGCCTAAGACATGCAGAGATGACGACTAGACTACGAGAGAGCGCTCCTTGCCTCTCTGAATGTTTTAGCCAAGACTTCAGCCTTTCCCAGGCCATCCGGCAGGGCCAGAATTCCCTTGAAAATCAGACCAGTGCTGAACACAGACCAGTCAGAAACCCAGCTTTACAGGACTGCACATTAACATGTGAAAGGGCAGAATAATGAGAAAAAACAGCATTTCTAGCATGTGAA